TCAAATGGAGTAACTTTCCTTTTTTCTCATCTCTGCTCAAGCAAGCTTTCCCTGATACATTGTATCTGTTGTGCCCAGAGTCCGGACTCCCAAAGACGACCAAGTGACCAGATTCAATACAAAAGCAAAGGGTCTTTTTAATTATGAGTTCAAAGAGGTTTTCTCGTCCCATATGACAGAGCAGTGGAACAGGAGAGACCCTGAACCACACTGGGGCAGAGCACTTGGGGTAGAGCAAAGGGGCATCTGGAGGACTTCAAGTTGCATAGCAAGAGTCTCAGGTTTGATGTACCTCCAGACTAGGGGAAGCAGTCCTAAGTTGATTGGTCAATTACAGCAGGGGTGGGAGGGGGGAATCACTGCTTCTGGTGGCGCTTGCTGTGGTTACTGCAGTCCATCCTTATCCAGAGCCTGCTAACCTGACTGGCTCCTTACCATTTGGAGGGTATCTGGCAGTTTCTTCCCAGTAATTAGGACAAGGTCAAGCAAGGTTGGGGGCACAGAACATCCTGCTGAGTCAGGGGCTTTCAATGTGGGAAGTCCTTCTGTATATGTGCTGTTTTTACTGGTTAATGAATAAAGAAGCTGCTTTGGCCTGTGATAGTGCTGAGCGGGAAAATTAAACTGAACGCTGGGAGAAAAAAAGGCAGAGTAAGAAGAAGTCATGTAGCTGCTGCAGGAGACAGATGCCACCTGACAGAACCTTACCAGTAAGCTACAACCACATGGCAATACACAGATTAATAAAAATGGGTTAATTTAAGATATAAGAGCTAGCCAATAAGAAGCATGAGCTAATAGGTAAAGCAGTGTTGTGTGATTTTTTTCCAGTCTAAGCAGCCAGAAGCAAACAAACAGCCTCCAACAACAGGCTTACATCTTGCTGAGTCTTTTCTGAAGCCTGTCATGGCTGCCAAATTGCCAAGGGGGAGGGGAGCTACTGGGTAAGGGCCTGGGCACTCTGGGTGAGGGTCTGGGCCCTTCAGTATCCACATTTATGTAAGTCTCAGAAACAAATGTCCCAAGCTTCATAGCAGATATCTCTTGATACTAGGGACAGAGAGTAACAACAGAAAAAGGAAAAGGTTCATAATTTTCCCCATTCAGAGTTAGGTTGTTTAAGATTTAAGCAATGGACCAAGCAGTAATGGTGCATGCCTTTAATCCTAGCACTCAGAAGGCAGATCTGTGAGTTTGCGACCAGTCTGGTCTACAGAACAAGTTCCAGGATAGCCAAGGATACACAAATAAATCCTGTCTTGAAAAAGCAAAAAACAAAACAAACAAAAAAAGTTTTAAGCAATGGGGCAGGAACGATGGCACAGCAGTAAAGAAGCATTCGCTGCTTTCCTAGAGATTCCAAATCCAGTCACCAGCATCCACGTCAGGTGGATCACAACCACCACCTATCACTCCAGCTCCAGAGGATCCAACGCCCTCTTCTGGCCTCCACAGGCATCAACACAAATGACATACTCAGAGACAGAGAGAGACAGGTCTATCCCTCATATTAAATACCAGGATAAGTACAGAAGAATCAAAGATCTTAATGTTAAAATGAAAACATACAAACAAAAGGGGCGAGCCGGGCGGTGGTGGCGCATGCCTTTAATCCCAGCACTTGGGAGGCAGAGGCAGGCGGATCCCTGTGAGTTTGAGACCAGCCTGGTCTACAAGAGCTAGTTCCAGGACAGGCTCCAAAACCACAGAGAAACCCTGTCTCGAAAAACAAAAAAAAAAAAAAAAAGGGGGGGGGGGAGGAAAAGGGAGATGGCTCACAGGCCAAGAGCCCTGTGTGTTCTTCCAGAGGAACAAGGTTTGATTCCCAATACCCAGGAGGGCTCACAACTATCTGTAACTCCAGCCCCAGGGATCCAATGCCCTCTTCTGGCTTCCTTGGGCAACAGGCATGTACATGGTGCACAGATATACATGCAGGCAAAACATCCATCTACATAAAGTAAAGTAAGCTAAAAAATAATTCTCTCAAAATTATTTTTTAGAAATAAAGAAAAAATCCTTAAAATGCTTTATAACACAAGAGAAACAAACTCACTCTAAATTATACCTCATAAAACTCATAACTAATAAAAGTAATAAAACATTAACGGAGATGCCTCTATAGCAATATAAAGCCTCCTAAGCTAAATAAAGGGCAGGTGAAAAGCTGGGTGGAGTCACCTCAAACTGCATCAAATACAAAGAAGCTATGCTACAGGAATTTCTGGGGGGAGTGGGGAACCCAATCACCTCAGAAGGGGGGAAAAAAGCAATTCATAAAAAAAAGAAAGAAAGAAAGAAAAGCAAATGAAAATACATCCACCATTGCTCATAAGGGAATCGTAAATTTAAAGTCTGCTGAGAAACCATCTATGTTTCTGAAAGGCAGAAATCCAAACGTTTAATAATAGACCCTAGAACTGAGGCTGGGGAGTGGAGCTGCTCTTAAAATGGGATGAGAATTCACAATGGTCTAGTCTTGATGCACAGCGACATTTGCAATGCCTAGGAAAAGCACGCGTGATTTTCCCTTGGACCCCACAGCCACGGGCTGAAAGCATTTAGTCCCAAATATAGCCACCGGAATTGTGAACTCCCACGTGCCCATGTTATCCTCTGTAGCCCCGTTTGTGCTGACAAAGACCAGAAGCCAGCCAAATGTCCTCTGGTGAGGCTGAAGAAACTATGGAGACTACACATGATGGATTGCTCTGAAGCCGATCAAAGGAGTAAGCATGAGGGTTGGAAAGGTGGCTCAACAATGAAGAGCACTGACTGCTCTTCCAGAGGACTCAGGTTCCATTCCAGAACCCACATGGCAGCTCACCACTGTTCAAGAGGATCTGATTCCCTCTTCTGGCCTTCCTGGCCACCAAGCACCCAAGTGGTACACAGACATACATGCAAGCAAATCACCCATATACATTAGTAGTAGTAGTAATAACAACAACAACAACATAGTTCCCAGGGTACACTGGTAAATGAGAACTAGATCAGAAGAATAACTATAGCTGCGGCCTGTCTCTGTCAGGAGGGAGAGTTGTAGTTTATGTTCACAAACAATAAACAAAGGATAGGAAACAATGGACTAAAAACCATTATCTCTAAGATGAGGAGGAGGCCTGGGGGGAGCTGAATGGCGAGAGAGAGAGAGAGAGAGAGAGAGAGAGAGAGAGAGAGAGAGGAAGCTAGCCCTCTCTGCTTATATTAACACTTTCTTAGCATTTTTGCTTTCAATCATGTAGAGCTTTGAAAGGCAAACTTGTGTTTGGCAAAGGGAGACACACCTCCTCCATCAAAATCCAACTGAGACAAATGGAGCTAAGGATACATCAAGTCGATTTCACAACCACATAGGGAAGAATTTTGTCACATGACTCTAGCCATGTTAAGCATCCTTAGGGGTCGAGCCTAGGGACAAAGAGAATGGCAAAAGAAATCTGAAGCTAATTACCCTGCAGGACAAATGACCCAGTTTCTTCAGCAAATAAGAAATACAGAAAGGAAAAGGAAGACATTGTCTTGTGGCTTAAGAAAGATTTACGCACCAGGAGTGGTGGCACACGTCTTTAATCCCAGCACTCCAGAGGCCGAGACAAGCAGATTCCTGAGTTTGAAGTCAACCTGGTCTGTCTAAAGAGTGAGTTCCAGGACAGCCAGGGCTACACAGAGAAATAAAAACAAAAATGTAATGGCATTTCATTTTTATCTTAATAAATAAGCCTTGTTTGAGGATCAGAAAGTAAAAAAGCCCCATTGGTCAGCCCTACCAAACAACAGTGGTAATACACACCTTTAATCCCCCAGTAGCCACACTAGTTGCTATGGAAACCAGGCGGTGCCTGCCTTTAATCCTAGTAATGCATGGCTTTAATCCCAGTCCTAGAGAGGGTTATAAAACGGGAGAAGACAGCTATCAGTCACAGTCTTATTCTGAGATTCTTGGAGGCAGGATCGCCATTTCAGACTGAGGTTGAGGTAAGAGTCAGTGGTTGATTGTTTTGCTTTTCCAGGTTAAACCCCAATTTCTCTCTCTGGAGATTTTATTAATCATGCTTCACAAAAAGAAATGAAAGGGGGAGAGAGAAAGAAAGAAAGAGAGAGAGAGAGAGAGAGAGAGAGAAAGAGAAAGAGAGGAAGGAAGTGAGGGAGGGAGAAAGAGAGAGAGGGAGGGAGGGAGGGAGGGAGGGAGGACATACATGTAGACAAAACACCCTACTGATAAAATTAAAAAATTGACCACAGAGAAACCCTGTCTCGAAAAACCAAAAAAAAATAAAATAAAAAATAAAAAATAAAAAATTGAATAAGCTTATATGATCATCTTCAGTACATAGTCCTTGCTTCCTTTCATAACCATTACTGAGAGTCTTTCTCAGATATAATCTTCCTCCCCAAAACTCTTGATATTGGTTAAAAAGATAAATCTCATCATAGGCACACTCACAATCAATTGGAAAGGCAACCTATGGAATGAGAGAAAATATTCTAACTCATATACCCATTAAAAGTTCAATATTGGAGTTTGAGAGATGGCTCAGAAGTTAGCAGCACAGGCTGCTCTTCCAGAGGTCTTGAGTTCGATTCCCAGCAACCACATGGTGGCTCCCAACCATCTATAATGAGATCTGGGGCCCTCTTCTGGCATGCAGGCATACATGCAGGAAGAATCCTGTATACATCATTAAGAAAAAAATTTAAAAAGGTTTAATATTTATAACACATATAAAGAATTTTGACAATTGAACAACAAAGGAAAAACAGCTCCGGAACTTGAACAGACAGTTTGCTAATGAGGACATACACGTGGCCTAGGGGCTGTGAAAAGGTGCTAACCATTACTAAGAATTGGGGAAAAGCACAGTGAGAGACTACCTCTCCCCATCAGGGTACTACCATCAGTGAGAGACTACCTCTCCCCATCAGGGTACTACCAAATAAAACCCAGAAGATAGTTACTGCTGGTAACGTTGTAGAGAAATAAGAACCTTTGACGGGAAAGTAAAATGGTACAGCTGGGAATTTTTCTTTCCTTTTTTTTTTAGGGGCCATGCTAATCTTCTCTGTATTGTTCCAATTTTAGTATATGTGCTGCCTAAGCGAGCACAAAAGGGAAATTGGGCTGGGGTGGGGGGTGGGGGGGTTGAGACAGAGTTTCTCAGTAACTATGGAGCCTGTCCTGGAACTAGCTCTTGTAGACCAGGCTGGCCTCAAACTCAGAGATCCACCTGCCTCTGTCTCCCAAGTGCTGGGATTAAAGGTGTGCACCACCACCGCACTGCCCGGCTGAAAGCAGGATTTTAAAGAGATATTCGCACACATGTTGTTAGCAGGGTTATGCACGATATCCGAGAGATGGAACCCAACCAACTGTCTGTCAACAGGTGAATAATTTTAATATATTTTGTATTCCCATAAGGGAATATTATTCTGCCTTAAAGAAGAAAAAATTGGGCTGGAGAGATGGCTCGGAGGGTAAGAGCACTGGCTGCTCTTCCAGAGGTCCTGAGTTCAGTTCCCAGCAACCACATGGTGGCTCACAACCATCTGTAACGTAATGAGACCCGGTACCGTCCTTGCCAGCAGTACATTGTATACTTAATAAATAAATAATTTTAAAAAAAAGAAGAAAAAATTATTTATTTTTATTTAATATACAGTGTTCTGCTTGCATATATGCCTATACACCAGAATTGAACTCAGGACCTCTGGAAGAGCAGCCAGTGAGTGCTCTTAACCTCTGAGCCATCTCTCCAGCCCCAAGAAGAAAATTCTGATGAATGCTGTGACACAGATGAAACTTGAGGACATTTTACTAAAAGTCAAATGCCAGCCCCCAAAGGACATTGATTCCACTTATCCAAAGCCCTATTATAGGGCTGGAGAGATGGCTCAGCGGTTAGGAGCATTGCCTGCTCTTCCAAAGGTCCTGAGTTCAATTCCCAGCAACCACATGGTGGCTCACAACCATCTGTAATGAGGTCTGGTGCCCTCTTCTGGCCTGCAGGCATACACACACAGACGGAATATTGTATACATAATAAATAAATAAATATTTTTAAAAAAAGTCCTATTATAGAATTAGGAAGTAGGTGCTGCCCCTGAGGGCTGTGAGAAAGGGGAAATGAAAGATCGTGCTATGAATCCATCATGCCTACACTCGGGAGCCAAGACCTCCAGGCAGCGGTGCCAACCTCCTTTCCCCGGGCCGGACACTCCCTTCCTCCTTGTTTAAAATTTTTTATTTACATGTATGTGGAAATACATATATGTGTGTGCATATATATTGTGTGCTTGTGTGTGTGTGTGTGTGTGTGTGTAATGTTTGTGTGTGTGTTTTGTTTACATGTATATCTGCAGACCAAAAAGGGGCATTGGAGCCGGGAGGTGGTGGCGCACGCCTTTAATCCCAGCACTCGGGAGGCAGAGGTAGGCGGATCTCTGTGAGTTCGAGACCAGCCTGGTCTACAGAGCTAGTTCCAGGAGAGGCTCCAAAGCCACAGAGAAACCCTGTCTCGAAAAAACAAAACAAAACAAAAAAAAAAAAAGGGGGGGGGGCATTGGATCCCTTGGGACTCCAGTTATCCGGAACAGCAGTTGGTGCTCTTAACCACTAAACCACCTCTCCAGCCCTCTTCTCTCTTCCTTTTAAGCCTACTCTGTATCCCAGAGCAGATCAGCAGGTTCAGGGACCAAGCGAACAGTCACTGGGGAGCACGGTGTCCCTTCTTGCAACACCTCTGATTTTTTTTCTCCTGAAAACCAGTCATTTGTCCATCTTCATATTCTGGTTGATGGAGTTGGGAGATTCCGAGACTCCTGAACTGGTGGTCATGGGTCCAATTCTGGTTCCTTCCATAAAGGAAAGAGGGTTTGACCGACTCCAGCTTCCAGATCTTGGAGGAGCAGGCAACATTTGATCTGACCCAAGGATCCGCCAAGGATAGGTCGGATTTGGTAAAAATAAAGATTAGAGCTCAGGTGAAAGGGACAGGGACACGGAGGTCAGACGGGAAGTTGCTAGAGCTGTAAGGGTGCCATTTAGCTACGTCAGACAAGCGTGAAGGAGCTCCGCATGGACCAGTAAACGCCCAGGGTTCTGCTTCCGGTTGCAGAAGAAGCAGAACTGGCTCAGTCTGCGCTCAGTCCCCTCCATGCTGCCTTGAGTAAGACGAAAACAGCTGAGCAGCCGTTCTCGGGGCTGGTGTTTGGGTTGGCTCAGGCAAGCTGGTGCCAGTGAGGGGTTGTTTAGGAGAGCTGCCAGTCCAGAAAGAGGCATTCCTCTGTGGCTTGTGCTACAAAATTAGAATCAACATCCTCTTCTGCCCTCTAAGGGCGGACACACACACACACACACACACACACACACACACACACGGGGAAGGGGGGGGTTGTTTTGTTTTGTTTTTGTTTTTCAAGACAGGGTTTCTCTGTGCATCTTTGGCTGTCCTGGAACGCACTCTGTGACCTGCATTACAAAATTAGGGGGAAAAAATCAGGCCCCGTACTTCCCATCGGCTGCATGCAGATGTGCCAGCTAAACTTGGGGCACCCGGATCACTTTACAAAGCCCATTCCTATCTGAGGTACAATGCCTCCAATGCACTGGGTGTCTGTGGAGCCACCTGTATTGGAATTCCTGCCTCTGACTGAAGAGTGCTGGGATTAAAGGTGTGGACCCCCACTGCCTGGCTACATTTTATTTATTTTTTTTATTTTGCTGTATATAGCCCAAGCTGTCCCGGGACTTAAGCTCTTCTGGCCCTAGCCCTTTTTATTCTTTTTTTTTCTTCTTTTCTTTTGCCCCCCCCCCCCCCCCCCCGCAAGATAGGATTTCTCTGTGTAACGTCCTGGAACTAGCTCTGTAGGCCAGGCGAGTTTCCACCTCACAGAGATCCACCTGCCTCTGCCTGGGATTAAAGGTGTGAACCACCACATCCAGCTGCATTCTCTCCTTTATTGGTTTTTCTTTTGGCTTCTAGGACCCAGCCAGGACAAGCTCTGTAGAGGCCTGAGTCTCTCACTAGGTTCCCCTAAGACAATGCCTGGTTCTAAGACAGACCACAAACTGAGACTATCCAGGTATCACCCAGGAATAGCCCACGCAAAGGAATCTTAACATTCCAACTATTGTAGATAGGATCACCTGATGTCCCTTAGCCCAGCACACCCACCCCCCTTTACCAAGACGCTCCTAGACAGATGTTAGCCAATCAGGGGTTCTGAACTTTAGAAATCCCTCACCCCAACCTCTGCTATTATAAAAACCCCACCCAACTGATTTGGAAGCTCTCTGATCCTGCCAATGCATTGGACACATGGAGAGTCCAAGTTCAAACTTGAATAAGGATAAAGGCTCTTTGCTTTTATATATGGGACTTGGTCTCCTTATTGGTTTTGGGGGGAATCTGCCTGTGATCTGGGCACAACGAGCTCACACTGAAACTATGGATTACAATGAAAAACTTTCCTACAAAAAAACTAAAGTTTACAATCATGTGACGTGTCAATCCCATGATGCGATCATCTTGACTGACTGGGACTTAGACAAACAAGGGGCATTTCTGTGACAGTGTTTCCAGAGAGGTTTGTCTGAGTGGGAGGAGCCAGAGTAGAGCATCAGCATTCATTGCTCTCCACTTCCTGACTGAGCACAAAGTGACCAGCTGCATCTACCACAGCTCCAAACAACCCTTGCCTTCCTCTAAGTTGATCTTGGGTATTTTCTCACAGCAACGAGGAAAGTAACTAACACATATCAGAAGAAGTCCAGAAGGGAAGGGATTTATTGGACACCCAGTGTGATCCCTAGCCTTTGGGTCCTGTGAGCACAGTTCCTTCCCCCAGACCCCAGAGGCTACAGCAATTATACTGCTGTTGCCCTATGCTTAGCCTGTCCATGCTTAGATGACAAAAATATCACAGCTTGGGTGACTAACCCTTCACTCTAAGGCTGCACAAATATTCCTTATTACGGTTTAAGTAAAATGCTGCAGGTCTCCGAAGTGGCGGCAGGTCCCTGAAGGCAGCAGGTCCCCGGAGTGGCAGCAGGGAGCTGGCAGCAGGTCCCCAGAACAGCCAGTCCCAGGCAGGGATGGTGCAGTTTCCCAGTAGCTGCAGTGGGTCACAAGTCCCAGGCAGAGAGCCACATGGTAGATGAGAGACCTCAATGGGGCAGCGAGTCCCACGAAGAGAGACTGGTCCTTGCAGGGGGCCATGTGGTGGGCAAGAGATGAGACATGGATAGGCCCGCCATGCAGAGTGAGGTTGGATGTTTATTTAGTGGGTTATGGAGGGGGAAAGGGAGAAGAACAGAGAGAGAAGGAGAGAGAAACAGGGGAGAAGGGAGAGACAGAGCTGCCTCTGAGAGAGAGAGAGAGAGAGAGACAGAGAGACAGAGAGAGAGACAGAGAGACAGAGAGACAGAGAGAGAGACAGAGAGAGAGAGATAGAGAGACAGAGAGAGACAAGAAAGGACTCGGGCTGGAAGCTGAAGATGGACAGGGGAGGGAGTGGCATGACTTGTTACATTCCTGCTCAGACACATATTTGCCAAATTTCTTCAATTGGACTGGCACTGTGGTTTTTCCCCTCAGACAGAACCTGGATTCTACACAGGACACACAGTTCCTTCACAAAGTAAACCCATCTAGCCCTTGGGCATAGAGGCCTCCAGGGACTTTTACCTGTTTTTCTCCAGACAGATCTCAGTGAGGGGTCTTGTCTTGCCCTTGATGGGGCTGCCCTTCCTCTAGGGCATCCAGAACCTGCCTCGCGTGGCAGAAGGCACTGCGGAGCATGTGACCTCTGACCTGCCCACTGAAGAATTTCCCAGCAAAGCTCTTCCTTCAGAAATGGCTTAGCCCTAAGGCTAACTACATACTGCAGAGTGGACTTCTCTCCAGGTAGCCATTGAAGTTCTGTGGATTCTCGTTGCACAGCAGAGAGGTCTCCTGACCTTGCTCATCTTCTTGGTGTGTTGTAGAAAGGGAGTGGATACCTAGCCTCTGGTGGGGCTGCCTCTCCCAGAGCACCTGCACGCAGAATCCCTGCCACCGCCCCAAGTCTTCCATCTCTACATTTGGGCCGTCTCCCTCCAGCATCAGG